TGGCGACCGCTGCCGCCGCGCTCAGTGGAAGCACAAGGTAGCCTGGAACGCTTCCCAACCTCCCACCCTGCCTTTACAAAACAACAAACCTGTTCACAGTGGATACTGCCCAGCTCCAACAATGAACTGATTTCCTTCCTTTCTTTTTCCAACTCCTTCCTCACACACTAACTGAATTTTCCTCTCAATTATCTTAGTTGCTTTCCCTTGAACACTAGGACTCCAAAACATTGCTGAATACTCTCCATACACGCTGCTTAAGGAGAAAAAGGTTTTGGAGAATTGCGCCCTGTGGAAGTCATCACAGACAAGAAAGTTAAAACAAGCTGGCGCTTTTGATATACGAGGATCCTTGCCTGGAGGCATCAGTTTGGCTGCAGGAGCAGCACTGTGGAAGGCAGAGGGAACATCACAACACATTTGTCCATTTATGACTCTAATCTGGACACAGGAGGAGAAGAGATGAAGAAGGATGACAACTGCAGAGCCCTCAGAAGCTGAAGTGATGGATATTGGAGTGAGATGTGGGACCTGCATTTTACTCTCACCTCAGTTTGCCTTGACGTGGTGTACAAACCTAAACTAATAACTTCATTAATTTGCCCCCTTTCCTTCTCATATAGTCTGGTAATGGCCTAGGCCGCTGCAGCTCCTCGGCTAACATCATCTACAACACCTTACTTGCAGCTATCTCTTAGGCCTCTCTGTTTTCACACGTTACAGACAAATGACTGTGAGGAGTGTGAACTCTTTAGTTTTAGGCATATTCATAACACATAAAAAGTGGTGTGACCTTACTTATACAGACATAGGCTGTAATTCTATGGCTTTGACTAAACTCTTGAGAAATCTCTAGATCAGGCACAAAAATTAAGTACTAATAAAAGCACTTCTGAAAAGCACTACTGGGAAATAAATTGGCAAAAAGGGAAAATAATTTAAGGACTATTCAGTATCATCCCGTCTAAATGGGAAGCTAGGTGACAGGAGGAAGTCAAAGGCTTTTTCAGAGTTAGATACTGCCTGATCTCTTGCAAGACCTCCCACAGAGCTGGGATGGATGCTCCTCAAGGAACATACAGCTCCACTTAAATGTCTACCCCTTGTTTCGGTGGCTGGAAGTTGGATCCACAAACATTCCCCATGGAAACAGATTGCAGACCTCAGGCCCACAACTGAGTCTTTTTGAGGGGGGAAATGAGGTCTCAGAAGTAACTACAGCCTTGTATTACCTATATGCCTTTTTTACATTAATACGGAGAATTATTAGAGCTATATTAATAGTGATAGTTTAACGTTATTGAGTGCATGAATATTTTCCCTAGCCTTTTTTTTGTGGCTCTATTTTAAGATAAGTAAATTCAGCCTTTTATTTTGTATCTATTGGCAAACAAACGAAGGACAAAACCTAAATATTATGATCCTACCATTTGTGACAGGTGTCTACAGTGGTTTGAGACTGCTGCATTTTTTTAACCTGTCACACAGCAAAATTGCTTGAACTTGTTCGCCACATGGACTCAGACACTTTATAAGTAGGCATTGACATTTGCCAAACAATGAAATACGACAATATTTTTCCTATTTCTTCTTGAAAGTAGGCAATTGAAGTAGGTACTTCAACTACCTTAAAACTTCAAAAATAAACACAATAGTACAGATTTCAAAGAAAAAAAAAACAAGCAATAAGTACTTAAACTATAATGAAATTCTAACTTACTGTTTATGCTTTTGAAAATTTCCTGCTGCTTATTTTTCTGTAACTGAACTCATGCAACATTTAAAAAATATTGCATTCATCACTGAGAAGGCAATAATCATGTCTTTACTTAAACTATTTAACATTTTGCATCACATTTTTCTAAGGATTACTCTGGAAAGTTCCAATGTGTTCATGGTTTGCAGTAAGAATTCAAAATCTTTATGAGGTACCATTGGGGTCAATGAGGTATGAGAGTTACACAGTCCCCACTAAAGTTCAGCAAAATATAGCCAAATTGTGAAACACTGAGCACCTGCCAGGTCCCCTCTGTGATCTCCTCAGCAGAGTTTTACAGATACTAGTTACAAAAATGACTGAATATTCCTGCAGCCTTATATACAGAGTGACCTAACCTTTCCACAAGCTCTGAAGAGCCATATGTCTAGAACGAGCGTAGGCAAAACTGATCCTTCTCCTATTAAAATATTATTTCAGTTTGGAGAAAAACTGCGAGCACTGAGGTCTCAGTTCTGTGCTTCTCTCCCTGTTATTGTGCAAGGGAAATTTCCCAGTTTCCTTGAACATATGGTGCTCTTTCTAATTCCACTACTAAGCATATTTGGAGGAGAGATAAGCAATTGCACAATTTTTTTTACAGTGATAAGGCAAGAACCTTTGGGACTAGATTAATTTCCCAAGGTAGTTACCAATGATTCTATCTCTGTATTTCAGAGCAAAAAGACTTCTATGACTTTCTGCTGAAAACTTCAAAACCACCAACATATGTTCATTCTAAAAATGTTACATTCCTTTTTTTGTAATGCAGTCTACCCACTCCAAATTTTAACGGAGATGACCATATTACATTAATCATTTCAAGGGAAAGGTAATCAAAATCAAATTCAAAAATCAAAATCACGTAATATTAAAAGCAGTACTCGCGGTGTTGCTGTTTCTGCATTCCCGCATGTTTGTGCCTCAGTAACGTCTATGTGCTTTAAAGATGCCTTAGCCAACAACCTCAAAATTAATGGCAAGCAATTCAATCTTCCAAAAGTTTCCAAAGTAATCTCTAAATGAAGATTTAAATTTCCCCCTCTCTCCACCAGAATCCTACCTTTGTAAGAGCCGCAGCTGATATCAACGAATGCCCCAAGGCTGCGTCTGGGTCTGGGTAATCCACCGACATTTGCCGCCCTGGAGATGTAGGAGCAGCCTCCGGAAGGGCAGCGCTAGCGCTCCTGGGACCCGCTCCCCGCTCCGGCGCTTTACCATCCTGTGCCTCCTGAGGGCCGAATTCCACCGGGGACCCGGAGCTCCTGCTGCCGGACTGCACCGTGCTGAGGACGGTCATCTTGGTCAGCAGCGCTTTGGGCAGCCCGTCCATGGAGTCCGTGTGAACGCCGGCAAAGCAGTCGGGAAGCCGGGTGTCTTCGTCAACGCTCGCGGCGTCCTGCAGGCCGTGTCGCGACGGGTGATGCTGGGGGCTGGCCGTGACCGAGGGCGTTGTGGATAGCACCGACTCGGCTTGGCTGTCGTCGTCGTCGTCCTCGTTGTCGTTCTCATCCTCCTCTGGACCGTCGGACTCCTCCGCATCGAATCCTGAGCGTTCATAGCTGAACCTTTGCTTCTCGCCTGCAAAAGTGAGAATGAGAAGTTACGCCGATGAAGGGCTCGCACTGACTGGGAAAAATGTGGGAGGGAATAATTAGAAACACTAGGAAGACATGTTGCATGTGCACTGTCCAGTCACTTCCCACTGCATCAAAGACAGATCTTCCTTTTATAAAATACATGCAAATGTTTTTATATTTTTATTATATTTCTCGTATATAATTAATAACGCAGTTATATAACCTTCATTTTCCACTCCTTCTGGAATGGCCTGTTTTCTTCTAAGCCGTCTATAACCATTTACTCAAAGTCGCCCTCCATCCCTTTGCCTGGGGAGAAGTGAACAGATTCCTGGTTCATTAAGCTCCTCGTGACGCCACACACAAGCGGCTGCCCACCCTAGCAGTGGGATATTCTCTAGCCGGTTCTGACTCATAGGTGGGTGTCCTTGTAGCTAATGTGAATCACTGCTGCAAAGGGTTTTGAAAGATAGAAACAAAAAGCCTGGAGGCTGTTAGTCAGAAATCTGTCTCGTTAACAGGCAAGAGAGACCAAAATTAGACCTTACTAGAATTTTTCACTTTGCTAGTGTTTTGAAGAGATTACTAAAAAGTTACCCAAGACATTTGAGGAGGCGATGAGGCCCTAATCCTATAAAACTTGTCTGTGCATGAAACTTTGCTCATAAAGAGAAGCCCTACTGAATTCAAGTCTTAAAATCAAACTGGTGCAGATGCTTCCTGCTGTCTGGTGGTAAATTCATCGACAAAATAGTTCTACTGCAGCTTTTTTACCTTTTATACCTCAACTTGGAAAGAAAGAATCGTCTTTAGTAAAGAGACAAAATCCCATCTGCTGTATCTGATTCTAAGCCAGACTGTCTGGGATCTTATTTTATAAAAGTCAAAATGCTTTGGATGCACTCGTATTTTATATTAGATTAAAGGTCTGTCTGCTGGGCTCTCCAAAGAAAATATCAGCACAAAAATCATTTGCAAATCTGCAAAACCAATGACAGCTGGTTGGTTAAAATTTCAGAGATCCTGTTTTAGAGAGATTTACAGAGTAATTGACCATCAAAACGAGTAAGTCTTAAAAAAAATTCAGACCTTTACAAGTCAAAGAATATACTACATGTACTTCTAATTCTTATAGCTGCTCTGTTACCAAGTACAATATATACACCTTCAATTCCAGATAAATTAATGGGTCTAACAGAGCCACATCTCAATCATTTGCTCACTGTCACAGCATTTTTGATTTCAAATGAGCAGTGCAATGAGGAAGAGGGCTAAGAGATTCTTAAAAAAATCCCAAATTCTAATGACTTAGTCTCTCTTTGCCTGTACAGTAATTTGTATGTTAACTAAATATGGAAACTATAGATTTTCTACATTTACTATAAGAAACATGACTGAAATGTTATTAAAAATACTCTAAATTCTCCAAGTCGTTGGAATGGTGCTAACAAAAATATACATTTTTAACTTTGAATACCCTTCATTTATAATTTTCGAAGAAGAAAATATATTTTCTTGGAAAAACAAATCCAGACAGTCTACTCCTAAAACATGGTAAGCAGTACTGTTAAATGTACTATTACCACAAGCACATAGAATTATTCAACATTATTTTCTCCATACTTCTGTCATTTTTCCTGTTCACACAAAACAACACTATATTTACCATTAATGTGTAATGCAAACAAATCTAAAAAATTTAATCTTTACATATACTTGAGTCCTGAACTGAAATAATTTCCTTTAGCGCTTCTGCAGTAGATCTCGACACGCTTTTCCAAGCATTATATCCAAAGGGTGACTTACATCTTTTTCTGCAACTTTTTAGATGATGCATGGGGCATTGGAAAGTTCTGGGTCTCAGCCTGGACTCTCTGAATTTTCATCTCTTTGTGGGGATACCTTTCCCTTTTACCAACATCAAATAATTATCCTCTGGAAAACATCGCTACTATTTTTTCTCTCTCTATCTCTGCATACACAAATCACATTTTCTGTGAAAGCTGATGTCAGTCATGAATGGTTATCTCTACTGGCAAGAAAACCTATCTGAGGCAATTAGACTAGCCTGTCACACCTTTAAAGCAAGGAAAATATATGAACAAACATGCCCTGATTCATAACAAGTACGTAGCTTTTCCAAATGAACATTTTAAAATTACAGGATTTACCGAAAAATCCTGCTTATGTAGTAATGTCTTGCATATGTCTCAACCTCCTAGAATAAAAACATGGAAAGGGAAAAGGGAACCATGTGTGGGATACAGATTCCTTAAATGTGGGACTCTGAGGGATATCATTTCCCTCTATTGTTTCCCTGTTTCCCTCCACCCTTTATGAGTTTGCCAGCTCCTACTTCAGCGTGGTTACCTGCAGCCGGAGCCTGCAACGTAGGCGAGGCGAGAGCAGCGAGTGTGGCTCCCGCACTCCCACGCTGCCTTCAAATATCGCAGGAAGAAATTCCCAACTCGCTCCCTGCGGCAACGCAGAAGGCAACACTCCCATCTTTCACACCTGTGAGCATGCCTGATGAAATGAGAGGTCCCCAAACTGCTGTAGGGAGCAGGGGAGCACTTTAAGCATGACTGCGAATTCGTGAAGCTGTGAGAGCTCCTGCTTTTTCCTTTTTAAGCGGAGAACCACCAGGCAGGTGACAGGCCGTCTCCTCACCAAGGGACCAAACTGCTCCTTGCGGCAGGAGGCCTTTCGGCCCTCTTTCCCAAGCTTGGACCTGTTAACCAAGGATTACTGACCCAGTTCCAACTTGGTAACTCTACTCAGCCTGCTGAAGTTCGCTGTACGTTTTAGCTGGGGAGGGAGGGGAAAAAAACAACAAAAAAACCCACCCACACAATTCTTTGCTTCATATCTTGAACTATGTGCAATTATAGCCATCTGCTTAGAGATGTGACATATATAACCGGCACTGACTCAGTTGCCAAAGGGAACAAGAAAATAACTTCTGTGTTTACCTTGGTATGAGGCTATAAAGCCGCATGGGATATTTTAGAATGAAAGATATAGCATAAATTTAAAGCCCACCAGCATACAAGGAAATAGTTTTGGGTGTGAAAAGTTCCCATGCTGAAAACAATAACATTTAAAAAACAAATTTTACACATAATAAAGATGTCTCTTTTCCTATGCATGGATATGGCAAGGCAGCTGCTATGAGTGCAAGCACCTGACAGTGCCCATGGAGCACATCCCTAGCGTGCTCTGCAAGAACAGGGAATAGCACCTATTCTCCGCCTGCTGATGCAATCTTTTCTTTTAAACTCTTTGAAAGACCATTCTTCTTGGACCTCACAGTTAAGGTTGGAATTTCTTGCTACATGCCTGAACATTTCAAAAATTAATCGCAGATGGAAAATGGAAATGCTGATACCACTTTCGATTAGACTTTAGATTTTGACTAGCATTCCAATTATAATTATATTTAATAAAATTTAGTTTTCGATCTTTTGTATTAGAGTAAGTGCCTAAAAATCAAAGGCCAGAGTCTTCTTACTCTTTCATTTTTTATGTCCCTGATCCTTACTTTGTCCATCTGGTCGGTATTTTGTTTATGGTGCTGATGAGTCTGTCAGCTAGGGCTTTATTACATTGACATTTACCCCGAAGCAGGAAAGAAAAAAGCTTAAAGTGTGTTAGCAAAGTAGCATTAGTTTGAATTATCAGCATCCTAATGTGTCCAACACTAAGATGCCTTGGGCTGATGAATCCATGCACTCTTTACCAGTCTGATGCTCTAAATTAGAAGTTGAGATAGCTCTCTCTGCATACCTTAAAGTTTTTTATTTCAAATGTTTTTCCTACAGGAATCCTGACTGTACATGACTTACATGTACATGCTCACCAATTATCATTGCAATATAAAGTCATTCAAAACCTAAACTTACAGTTTTTATTTTAACTATGCTGTTATCACCAATTAGCCCATTAGATGACCAGACTTTTCAGGCCCTGATGCTACAGGCTTAGCAATTTCTGCACTGAATCTAGCAACAAAGTTCAGTGGCTTCTAACTTAATCATATGTGGGTAGATTTTCACAGGAAGAGCAGAAGGTTAATTTTAATTCATTCAATTGCAGGAAGGCAGCTGAAAAATCTAAGTCCATACAACTCAAAATGTAAGACCAGACTGCTGAAGCTTTCCAAGTTCCTAAGCAGATGGAAACAGGATTGTGTTAAGTAGCCACAGGCATCTCTATTAGCTCTGTTTATACAGATTAAAACCCCATCTTATTAACTATGTGTTGGTCTGTTAACTGTCTATATCCAGCCTTGACTTTGTACTAAATTTACTGGCATTTAGCACTTGAATTTTAATTCAAAGCAATGTTGATCAACTCGAACTGTGACTGTATCTTCAGTTACTTATTAATATAATATATGGAATAAAGCATTTAATAATAAATCAATATATATGCTTAATCAAACTCAAGAACAATACACACCATGGAAGTAAAGACAGAAATACTTCTCCAGTATGTCTCCATCATAGCATTAACTTGAAAGCAAGGTCTCTGTACCATCCCTACCCTGGCCACTTCTCTAAACTGATACCCGCTTAGCCTTGTTTTTTGCATATTTAAGTAGTCGTTTAACGGACAGTGTCAGGACCATTCCAACAAGGATTCGAAGGCAAAATAAAAGAAAGCACTGCGAAACAAAGATAATAACTGTATCTGAACTTGCCCTATGTGGCTGCCTGTCTTTTTAAGGACATTCACAAGCTTTTTTTTGACTAATTTCTATCTTGCTTCAGCTACTGTCCATCGCTCCCCATGACCAAACAGGGACTCACAGTGACATCTACTGGGTTAACTTCAGACCAGTAATGCCCTGAGCTTCTCAAAGATGAGGGAAAAAAACCTGGGGTTTTGAATTTCGTAGTTGAAATAGGGAAACTAACAGAGTAAAAGTGACAATAAAAATCTATGTTTCTTTAAAGAGAGTTAGTCACATCTAAGCCGCCTTGGGTAACCTGCATGTTGTAAATCAACCCTAACATTAGCTATTCTATTCCCACGCTGTAGGTGTACGGCTCCCGCAGTCTTAATGCACAACTAGCTGAAGATTAGACAGAGATACTAAAAACTATTTTAAAAATATTTCCTGTAAGTTATGCAGAGCCAGCTTTACATTCTCCGTGCAGAATTACGGTATTATTGCAATGATTTTCACTTCTTAAATGCAGGTGCACTGAAAACACAGACATGATTAAGCTAATGAAGACCTATAGAAAATAATTTAAGACCTACTATGATAAATAATATATAGCTAATTATCTTAGAACCTTTATATCTTTGGAAAGGTTTCTTTAATACTGCAGAAAATGAAAGTTACATGCATACTATATGTATTTATGAATCTTGCAATTAGGTCTTTTAACAGGTAAAGTGTTGACTGTTTTGGAATAAAATATCTCCATAGAGACCATTCAATGAATTCTCCCCATCTGCAAAATTCATTATTAAAAACTATCTTGTGCAAATTTCCTTGGGCATACCATAAAATTTGTATGTTAGCTTGCATATTAAATATTAGAAGTTTAGGTTCAGAACTGTTTTAACATAAAAAACAAAAAAGTCTTAGTAAAACTGCATAGCAAAGTCTTGGACCAACATGGCAATAGCAGATACCCTCAGTTGCAGTCTGTCACTCTGAACAGTTCACCTTGTCCGACAATTCAGTACAGATATTAACATTCCTTACATTGTAACCCTGCATTTTGGTGACAAGAACATTCCACAGAGCAGAAGATGAAAGATAAATGGATGAGGAAGTGGTTTTGAATACAAAAAGCAAGGTCAGAAAGTATTTACTGATACCCAAATAGAGGCAAGTCCGCACACAAAGGAAACTATGTTAAAAGCCCTAATCACATATATTCTCAGACAGCTGGGGAACATCTCTCTTTTCTCTTCAGACACTAGTGCAACAAAATTTTAGCCTCTCAAATTACCAAAAACAGGCTCTGTGTGTGCATGTGTGGGCTGCTTCGGATTGAATATGATTTTTCATTCCATATTCAATATTCATGTATTAATCTGCACTAATACCCAGGTCAAAGATAACTTCTCAGTCTAAAAAATGAATCTGTTCAAATCAGTGTATTTTAAGCGTATGCTTAAAAAAAAAGCCATAAAAGCAGACCTAAAATTCCTTCATAATTACGAGGTTGGTGCCTTTCTTAAATTTTTGGCTAGTTCTCTGAAAGGGCTTCTCTACCTCAAAGTCTTACCGGAGATAAATAACTTAGTTATCTTAGTTATTGAAAGCAAAGGTGCAGACATTTTTATTGTCATAAGAATAATCGATATTACAGAAGTCAGGACAAGAAATTAGTCTGAGACACACAGACATTCTGAGGGTTAGGAAGCAGGCCAATCTTTCACGGCCTAAGGGAAAAAAAGGCATTTTTTTCTGAGGTCATAATTATTTCTTATCAGATTTTCTGCACCTTCCTCTAAATCATCTCATATTGGCTTCCATTTGAAGAAAGATATTGGACTACACGGACCACTGGTTCTATGAGAGAGATCATTTTTAACAACCACTCAACTCCCGAGGTGAAAAATACTCACATTTAAAGGTGGCATGTGTTGAAGCACCAAAAGGACACGACAAGCCCCAAAACTCACAGGAGGGAGAAGGGGGAGAAAGAGCAAAGCTGTAAAGCAGCAAGTACAGCTTGAGACCCTCAGCCTGTCACACTGGCTTTTGTGCATGATGGTCACGTTCAACCAAAGCCAAAAAATTACTAAGCACAGGACTTCAGAGAGTGCAGCAGAATCATCTACATTTATCCAAAGTGCATAGGCACGTTTTTTTTCCTGCTTCTTTGCTTTAAAATGGGTCAACAAGCAAGCTTCTGAATATCACAAGCCACAAATTCCAGCGTGGCTAGGTGAGCTGCAAGCCGAAAACGTGTTTTCCAAGTGCACAGTTACTCCCTGGATTTACATGGACAACTGTACGTGCACTGGGGAGGCTAGACTGGTTTGACTGCAGCAGCTGGGTGTTTATGGCGAGCTTAATCACCCTGCTTCTTCAATGGGAATTTTGTGCTGAGGTCTGTGCTGCCACAGCTGCTTTGTTCTCAGTACCTGAGCCAGACCGTTTACAGAAGCCAGGAAGTTTATCACCGAGTTGCTTTTTTTCTTATTTCTTTTTTTTTTGTGTGTGTACTTCGGTTCATAGTGAAAAATGTGTTCTCTGATTTATTTTGAAAAAAATGCTTTGGTGTCTTAGAATTAAATTTCTGGGGAAATGTTATGGATTTAGACGGCAAAAATCTATTGAAGGTTTGTCAATGTTTTTTCCTTTTTTAATTTTTTTTTTTTATCTGCAACATCATTTAATTACTGAAACGAAGAATACATTTCAGGGAATGTATAAAATATATATATTTATAGTACAGTTGCACACACACACATGTACACCCTATAAGTAAGAAGAGAGTCTCTGTCTCTCAGTATAACAGCCTTGGAGCCAAAGGAAAATAATCTTTCAACAACTATTTGAAATGCCTTACTTGCACAGGATGTTACAGGTAATTATTTTAACACTGGAAACATTATCATTATACTATAAGCACAAACGCAATGTTTGAGGTATATAATTGGGAATATCAGCTTAACAATCAATAAAATGTACTCAATCTTAGTAAATGGAAATATCTGGTCATCTGTAGCCCATGAAACTAAATAAAATGTGCAAAGCTACAGAACAGTGCTCAAGCAAGTTGTCGCAACTCTTCTGTCATATGGAAGTTGAAAATGTTAATGAAAACTGTTCCCAAGTGAAAAAAAAAAGGACAATCATTTGCACTGCTGCTTATCTTTTGTGCTGTACATCTTTGGCTAAGGGGGTTGTTTTTAGCTTTCCTAAATCTAACAGTGAACAACAAGGAATATATCTAACAGCTAAAAAAGGGGAAATTTGAGGTTCTTTGTACCTAGAGCACTACTGAATCATGCTCGCTGAGTCACACTCCCAGCGTTATTTAGAGCTATATTCAGGCTGATTTGCTTATTCTGCTAGAGATTGTCATACGGGAGCAGGTGCATTCATCTTCCTTGTCTTTTATTGCTTAGATATAAAGCTTCTCACTGCTTTCATTTCTCAAATCATCATCCCAAAGCAAATAAACGCAATGAGAAAAATACAAGACAAAGCAACAGGACTCATCTCCCTGCTGAGAGATGGGAGAAAGGAGGAAATTTTACCACTACACTGAGAATGTCAAGATCCAAACCGAAGTGCTACCACAGAACCCTTCTTTTCACAGTGAACAAAACTCACACAGGCCCAATTTGTCAGTCTTCGACTGTCCTCAATCTCATCTCTTCTTCAACAGAACAGTCTTGGTATGCAGGAAATGAAGGATTCCATGTTTTTTTGCAAATAAATTCATTTTGATAAAATGCTCATCAATAACGGAAAAGTAAAAGAGGTCAAGATGAAAAATTTTCATACTTTCTAAACTATCTGTTGATAAATGCTCAGTCATTGCGAATGTGTCAAATTTGACACAAGACTCACCTCCTTGCAAAGCCTGGGCAAGGCACTCCGCAAAATGTTTGTAATTCCCTGTTTTTGATAGCAATACAGTTTTAATGAAACAGGCATCTCAAAACTTCGACAATTTCATGCACAAACATTCCGAAACAAATACTATATTTTAGGAAGGCAGGCTATTTTTTCTAGGCAAACAGCTGCTTTTGTGATATTTTCAGTTTTGTCAGATTTGTCTGTGAAACCAGTCAAGTCAAACTGCACAAAACTGTGAAAAATTCAGCAGCAATGTATCTTTAGCATCTGCCAGTCATTTGTTTTAGTTGAAGGTTTTCCCAATATTTCTTGCTGCCTCTGACTAGCTTCTAAGATTGTTTATCACTGCACTGCTTCTCTCTAACAGAATTTAAAAGCATTGGAAAAGAAAGGGTAAGAACCTGAGATGACAAAATAAATACAAAAATGCAGTAAAGAAAATATTAAACTCCTACCAAATTCTTCTTCTCCATCCTGGTCATCTATTAAGCCTACTGAGACTCCCAAATCCATACATTTCTTGCTGTGTGCCTTTGACTTCATGTGTTTTGTCAAATTTCCTTAAGAAAGAAACAAAAATTAACCATTCTTTATACAAAAATATACACATAACAACTATACACGAATAGATACCCAACATGTTCATAGTCTATACAGCTGTATGATACAGATAGATGCACAAATAGATACCCAACATGTTCATAGTCTATACAGCTGTATTTACGATCACCTATATAATTTTATTGTACACTTGCTAGAGCCTTTCGTAAGTTGTCAAGGGCTGTGGAAGATTTGTCATCCTGAATGTTATTAGTTCTCTGGCTACATTTTATGCAGTTCTTTACTTAGATAAAATAGAATAAAAGAGGAAACTTAGAAAATGCTATATTTTACACAGTTGCAAGAGATCTTTCATTTATTTATGGCAAACTACATAACAGTCTGATTCAGCCTTCAAAATTACGCTGACAGTCAACGTGATTTGCAGATATTTTAGTATTCGATAGGTTCTGTTTTTAGCTTAATCATTTCCACCACAGACCTGTGCCAACAGGTTCATTTTACCCAAAACCGGAACATGACAACATTGAGCCAAAGTGAACATGTGACTGCCAAGAGGCACCACAGACTGGTTATTGTAAGTCACATACAACGTCATAACCATAATGGCCCTTTTGAGCCCTTTTTTTCTTTAGGAAGAAAATACAGTAAACATCCTCAAAACAGTAGATCACAGAGATCTGTAAATATCACATCTGTGCAATGGATGTTATTACAAGTAACTGCTCACTTCACACTTGAAATTTGGGTTGACTCAGAGAAAACCCGTTACTTCAAGGTATTTCAGTTCAGAAAAGAACAGCTGGTGAAATATTGCTTCTTCTGCGATCATTTTTCATTGAGAATTTTATTCCTGCTCTGTAATGAACCTTGGGCTTTAGCCTAAAATTTGAGATAATTGTTATGAAACTATAAATTACTGCTGAGTGACTAATAAATAGCAGCTTTTCCAGCTTCACAATACTATATGAAATTACTGATTACTTTGTCCTTCCATGAAGGGCAGTTTAACAGACCACCAAGCACCCACCTCTGTGACTGACTTTGCTAGCAATAATGACATCAGCAGTGCACAGTAATTGCAGAACGGGAAGGGAATACAAATATCTTCTGCAACTGAAATGCAAGAGAATTACAGTGGGCAGAACTTAATTACTTGCACCTGGTCGACATACCTACTCTGCAAAAACTATAATCAAGATCTATCATGTTCTCAGTCGGGCATTTTATCAAAACGATGGCACAACAAAGCAAGATGACTGACGACTCAGTGAGTGCATCAGCACACAGTGCTAAATTTTGATACATATGGAAGTATCTATCCGACTTTCTGCAGTTCTGTGTCCTTTCTTGGAAGCCTTGCACCTCACTACTACGCAATGCTGAAAAGACTAAAAGTACAAATGTTCCTGAGGTTACAGTTTGGGTCATTACAGCTAAATGGCTTACAAACCCAAGAAAAAAAAAATACTGCTTAAATATTTTTATTTAAAAAGTTTGACTGTGAAATTAACCTGTTTCTCTTGTTTTGAGTCGACTCTTTACTATGGACTTTACTCTTTACTTTTAAAGAGTTCCACTCTTTACTATGCATAAACAGGTTTTAAAATACAGGGGCCCATTTTGGGGTCTTAGAAGGTCAAGGGGGAGAATAAATTTGTCCTTCCACAGATTTAAAAAAATAATGAAAAATAATAAATTAATAGAGATCAAATTCTACACTGGAACAATTAGTTGAGTGCCAGTAACAGTCCAATACCAGTGTCATACCACCAGATGATATAGGGACTTGCAATTTTATCTCTGTGTTCCCATTCCTACTTGGCATGAGCAGCTGGCTATCTCATTCATCTCCATCTAACTTTTACCATGCTCCCATATTATTTTCCTATAACACTCACCTACCAGAAGTCTGGCCACACAGCTCATTCTATAAAGATGAGATTATCTAAATGCAGAAAGCAAAGGAAAATACGGAAATAAGAGCCTGCAAATATTGGAAACCCTAGGCAATAAAACTCCAGGAAGGCAACTTCTTTGGATTATGGGCTACAAAAATTTGTAGAAGAAAAGTGTTATACTTGAGAGAAGTAGAACAAAAAGAGGAAAAAATGTACACTGAAAACTTCCCCTACCTTTAGTTTTGAAGGAGAAGTTGCAGTAGTTGCAATGGTAAGGACGGACATCTGTATGTGTGCGAATATGTTTCTTCAGCATACTGGGTTTCTTGCACCGTATGCCACATTCTTCACAGATATACTTCCCTCTTCCTCTCCCCCGAACGTACACGTAGTCTTCGTTTGATTTATACCTAGTAACAGAATCACAAAAGTAGGGAAGTTAGTTGTAAAGGTAATAAAATTCTAGGTTGAAAACAATAATCTATCAGAATTTTAAAAATCACATAATACATGAAAATGAATGACTAAAAGAACACAAAAAATACTTTTGCGTTCATTTGTTGAACTCACATCTGTATTTTTCACCAAGTAATCAATCATTTGCTTTGAATTAATGGTAGAATCTTTTTTTTTTTTTTTTTTTTAAAAAAAGCTGTTATCTGACACTAAACATTTCAAAATTTCAAATTTCACCTTTGAAAGATAGACTCTAAAACATGCCAGTTTTTGGAAGGGAGTTTGGGCACCAGAAGGATGTTTTAAAAGAACATCTTTGAGGTTCTACATTTTATTGAAAGGAAGTACTACAGCTAGTTATGAGCCCATTACCAATTACTAGATTCATAAATTATGCTCCATTTGAGCTCAGAACTTTTCGAAGTGTCTATGGAATTTTCTGCTTAAAAATCCTCTTTTGTGAGGTGTTGAACATGGCACAACACTGCAGCTAAAGCAACTGTTATTCATATCAGTCATCTCATTTAAAATACTCGTATGAAATACTGTGCATGTACTACTCGCCTTAATAAATATTTCCATGGTTCACTTTAAATTAGGAGTTCTCCTGCCCACGTATACCATGGAAAGCTGCCAGGGAGAGACTGGAGAGCTGCAGTGTATTGCTTTGCCCTGCCCAGTCACCATGACTATATTCTCTCCAGCTGCAATTACTTCACCTCGCTGTGGAATAGCTACGATTTATCACATAACAGAAATATAGCAAAAGAATTTACTGTGTGGCTGTATCTAGCTGCCATTACTGTTGATTAATGTTTGTACTTTGGAAAAAAAAATCTATTGCATTGCTTATTATTCTTTATTTTATTTTCTCCCTCGTATCCCTCACGGCTCTATGCTTCGGATGACTTTCCATTTTTCTTGGAAGCATAAACCAACAGCCACAGATCGCGGTATGGAAACTGTTGTTTAGGAAGAATCAAGCAGGAAGCGACATCTATGCAAAGTCTACAATCAAAAAAAAAGTTATCTTCTCAACAATATCTAGTTTACGAAGTGTAATACTTGCCCTCCATCAAAGATTTTAACTCTTCTTGGTTCAGTTTTGATAAAGGAATTTTCTTTATCATGCTCAGTGCTTGATTCAGAGTTCTCCTTATTGCTGAATTCACTTGCGATCATTTTTTTCCTGTTTAATGCTCGCTGAAAGAAAACGAGATATTTATAAATTTATCATTAAAATTAACATCTTTTATGTGCCATTCAAATCTGCAAATTACTATGAATAAAAGCATCATTACTTTTGCAACCCATACTTTTAATAACTATTAAAAAAAAAAAACAACATTTTTTATTCTTTACTATGCCCTGAGCCAGCAAACCCTTGTGGAGTTTATGGTACCGCAGGAAACCAGGAATGCTTGAATTTGCTTTCAAAGATACCTCTTCATTCGTCTGGTGAAGGCACAGCTACCTGGCTCACCAATAGCCTTCTATGGAAAGATATTTATATAATCAAACCCGCTTGCTTCCTGAACGGCTACAAACTCATCCCTCTGCCCCAGATGCAGCAACAGAACCACTCAGATGGGGCTCTGCATGAGACAGTGTCCTCCACAATTTGACAAAAACAGAGACATTTGTTAGTGCACAGCCAGTTACTGGGGCTTTTTATTTATTTTTTTGGTCATTGCTGAAATATCGAAACACTTCACAGCCCCTTCCCAATTCTAGCTCCTGGGTGTCACCCCAGCAGCACACAGAGGGTGGGGGGAAAGGAGCTTCCCTCCTTCCCCAGCTCTCCTTCGACAGCGGCAGTCCTCACGCTGCACCCTCTGACACCAGCGCCCCACGACTGCCAGAGGCACTTTTCATGTGCAGAGCAAGAGGCAAGAAAGGAGGAGAATGCAAAAGGAAGGTACTTACAGGTAATGTTTATGTTTCCAAATATTTTTCGTATATATTATATTCCAAATGTTTTTCAAAAGAGTGTTCCTGTTTTAGTGCCTGATTTGCCTGTCCTCAATTTTGTGATGTTATTAATAGGGAGTGAAGAACCCTTTCAAAGTAGCACTCTGCAGTTAATTCTTACTGCCAGACCAAATTAGAAGAAAAAGTGTACCAGTTGTCTAGCAGAACAAAAATACATTTCTCAATTTCCCCTGGTTATTAATTAAAGATTTTTTTTTAGAGGAGGATGAGTTCCCCCAACATTTACCAATTAAAATCTACTTGTAGTCTAGGATATTTATAAAACGGGCAGCAACGAAGGAATGATCCAATTAGCCAGCAATTATTGCTGCTGTATTTATAAACTGTTCTACCCACGTAGCTGGCATACACACCACATTTGCTCATATTGATAACTGAATAAAATCATGAGAGAGATGAGACTGGCCTTATGTTTTCTACTCATTATAAAATTTAATGCTGTAAGCTTGAGAATTCCTGGCAAGCGAAACGACTTCCCTGGCTCACTTAAAATGACTGGTGAATCACACTGGTCATTATACACATCGAAGGGTGACATCACCCTGGCATCGGGTGCTTGCCTGTGTTCCTCCGTGGAATTTCTGCCATGGCCTTTACTTCCTGGCTGATGAGGAGGAGTTAACTCAGATCACAGGAAAAGTGACCTTGTAGATGCAAAGGCCCTAGGAATCTGCGTAAGTGATACCACAGGCTGCAAGTACTGCTCCAATCTGTACTCTTTCCTGCAGTCCTGTCATGGATTTGAGCTGGATTTTCAAGTACCTGAGCACTTCTACTGCAGCACACATGATAATTCTGCCTGTGGGTAGGAAGAAAGAAATTTCACCCTGCAGGTTGTACAGTATTCAAACAAGACAAAAGCAGGGCCAACTCAGAGGTTGAGCTTACTCTAGCAACTCTAACTCAACCATGTTGCAGACCTTATACACTATTTGGCACATGGATTGCTTTTGTTTCCACTGCAAACACAGAATAACAAGATGACATTTATAATTTAGCAAGGAAAAGAGTAGCGGAAAATACAGAGTATACATAGTAAGCCCAATACGACATAAGTATTCCCAGTACTTGGAATAATATTACCCTTAAGTGCTCGATCTTTCATTCCTAATACACTAAGTATTTTTTCCACATTTACATTTCAATAATAAAAAAACAAAGGGGTGGGGAGAGGATTCCAGATGTATTTGGCCTGTGCTGTTACCCAAACTATGGTGACACATATCTTTATAATCTATTGTATATTTTCAAACATACAGAAAATAACCCAAGGCCAAATACTCCTGGATTTTCTGATTTTTTTTTCTTATTTCTTTTTTAGCATCTTACATAGAGTTATGCGCCAAGATAAGGTAGTCTACCCCAGGTGTTCAAATAATATCTACTTTTCACTGATGTACTTTAACTGACTAGCTATGTGCTACTTTTACCAGCTGTTTCAGCGATTTAACCATGCAAAATGCTGCCATCACAGAAACGTTCTAATTGAAACACTATCCAAGCTGCTGTCACAGAAATCTACAGAAGTGTTCCCTGATAATGAGGATTAAAAAAAAAAAACAACCTTTTTTAATGCCTAGGAGAAATTCAGAATTGATTCTGAAAAAGACTCAGTAAGCTTGGACTCTACTTATCATTCGGAGCAGCCAGTCTCTAAGCAGTACAGTTTTCTCACATGTAAATCCTCTAACTTATCTCACCTAAAGCTTAGCAAAAACACTAGTAACTGTGGAAAAGGCAGAAAAATGACAGGGTATTCTGTTCGGGGTAACAGAAAAAAATGTTCCTCTCCATAATTACTTATGTCTTCCATTTCTGACAGAGTCTCCTCTTTCTCCTACTATGGAGACACAGATCATGATTCATTTCTACTTCACTCACTTTGCTCCAATGTAGCTCTACTGTCTTCAATTATTGGTATAAAACTGGAAAGAAAACTGCTGTTAGGGCTGCCTGGAGACCAGAGTTCAATAGATACTGCTGGGGCTTTACAACATCCCTTGGAAAAAAACATGCTCAGAGTCTGAATCATCCAAGCTATAAATTTTAGATTATAATATTCATTAAACATTTTTCCCACTGGCACACAGCTACTTAGGGAAAATGTTTTTAATATTTTTCAAGTTTTACTATTTTACACATAAAAATCTTGTGCATTTTACTACTTTCCAGTGGTGAGCCGGACTGTTGTGGCACATAACCCAAGAAAGGAAAGCTTTCCAGTTAGTGGAATGTTTCCATTTTCAGCCTATTCACTCCTGAAAGCCTTCACACTGGAGCACACTGAACATTACCAACTCCGAGAGGGAGTAAAGGATCAGTGTAGAGGCTTCAGAAAGAGCTCCTGATACCATACTGATGATTTCAGGTGAGGAAGTCTGGCAAAATACATACATAAATGAATAAAAGAGGAGTAGAGAGATAAAACCAGCCTCTTCTATGCAAGGGAACCTCAAATTATATTTTAATATGCTGTATTTATTCCAGGAGCTTCCTTCATAATACCATTCTGGGGTGTTTTCTGAATCACTGGAACGTGGCTACTGCACCTATTTGATCGCCTGTGAGCACCAAACTGTGAAGAGCAAACAAAGCCCGGGCTTTCCTTCATGCTTCTGTTTTGCTCACGTGTCTATTCATTTCCCAGGACACCTATTGTTGAAAAAAAAAAAACCCCACAGTTCTTTCCTGATAGTGTTTAGAGGTGGTTATGCAGAAACATGAGGTCTCTGTAAAGGTAACTTAATTCTAGGGACAAGACGAGGAACAGTTCAGGGAGTCGCTTTATCTTTTTGAGAAGATCAGCAGCTAAAGTCCCACTAACAGAGCACTCCAAATCATTCTGGAAAAGGCTATGCCTAAAGGAGAAGATGGGAGGGATTAAGGCACCACATTTTTATTATTAATAATAAATTGCACCATAATAGTACTTGAAGCTCTCTGTCAGGTCAGGGTTAAAATGTGCAAACCACTTGAACAAACATCATCTGAATGACAGTCACAACCCCCTGAGATTTACAATCTAAACTGTGGTTCTTTAAGGAATTCAGGACCCCGCCAAGCTTTTAAGCAGGAAATCAATCACATTTTTTTTGGCGGTAACAGAGAATTACTTTGCTAATCTGTTTGTTTTTGTAAAAACGGAATACGAGTTTCTAAAAGGACCTCCAATGTTCTGGTTCCACCCTCAATCTCAACCAGAAATACCCAGTAGGAGAATTAGTGGGCATGAGCAGAATGAGGAATTTCTGTTTTTGTTTCCACTAACCGTGGAGTGTGCAACAAAACTAACTAGAATTTTCCAAGCTGGCATCAGCTGTGCCATTACCAGGTCTAGCTGGAGGCTGGTGATACACAGGTATATTGTAACAGCATTCTCATCATCCTGGAAAGCGGCTGAAATCTCGCTGCCTGAGTCACTGAAAGAGAAACTAGACAAACTCTGGAGGTATTAGGTCACAGTACCTATTCAGGTTGTCTCAAGTTTTAATTTCTGGCATGCTAAACTTTGCTTACACAAGATACCGATTCAATTTTAATTGGTGATTTCTTGCTGTACATTCTTCCTTCACAATGGCTCTAAGTAAAGCGGATAAATCACTCCCAACTCTTCCTTTTCACCACACTAGAGTGCTCATTCAAATGTCAGCAAGAAAGACTGAAGAAAGATTAGTAACTGCACTTCCTTTATAGAAGCAGCAGAGTAAATGCACATGACAGCTGCCTATTATGGCATTAAATACTCCTATAGCATGTCAAAATATTTTTCAGAATATTGTTATGCATTATTTATATTCTAAACAAAACCTGTTTGTAGACAAAAATTGTTCTTCCTCAGACATACAGTAACTTTACTATTGCAGAACTTCTCACAGATAGTCCTTAAATATAAAATAAACACAAGCTATGACATGACTACTGAGATGTGCTTTTCCTATAAAGAATTGCTCAAATACGTGCAATGAAAACCTAAAACAAAAAAGCAATCTTCTCCCTATTTTTTAAATTTAGCACTATTTAAATGCACCTTATAAAATACACGAGGAAGCAGGCTGAAGAATGCAATATGAGTTTGAACACGTAAAAGGAGGTGACTAATATCGAACTAAAATGCACATCAGTCAGAGCACTGACACAACGTCAGCAGTCTATATGTATTTTCAATACAGAAAAAATGGATTAAGTTTTCATCTCCAAAAAGCATGTTGGCAAAATCACCCATTGACCTCAAGAGAACTAGATTTATCTCTAATACTCCTTAGGGGTTTCAGAATATCTTCTCAACTCCCACTGTAATTCTGAAACTATTTCTTCCCTCTTACGCAGAGCTTCTCATCTTATTTCTCTTTTCCCCACTGACTTGATATCTTAGCAAAACATTTAGCAAACATAGAAATATCCCATGAGGACCTCTGACAGTAACAGTCTACATCACTCAGCATCAAGAGAAATATATTGCTTCTCCCAAGACAGTGGTATGTTTCCTGAGGAGCAACTGGAGGCCCCATTGATCCAAATCCTCAGCCAGATGCCCAGACATTCAAGCTGCTGGCAGACTGCAGCAGGACACACTGATTAGCTCTCTAAGCAAGCAAAAAATTTGCATGTTCTGGATAATCTCTTGATGATTCTAGAGGAACTAGTTTCAAGACTCAGCTTTTGCCAAAAAAGAGCAAAAGTATAGTGAAGAGAATACTGCACACAGGATAAAGAAGAAAGAAGAGCTTGAGACAACCATGTCCCCCCCAGCTCTTTTCAGAAGGCATTAGCTGTGACAGCAAAAGCAAGTATTCAATGCACTAAACAGACACTGACACTTGTCACCAAGTTATAGAGAGCCACATTTAGCCATTCACAGAGTTATCATCAGCTAGCAGGGAACAGCAGTTCAGTGCAAAGAAGCACACGGGTTTGGTCCTGTACAGAAAATGAAATCCCGATCACAAATGGGCAGCAGTAACACACCTGAGCAAACGCCAAGTGACCACCCTGCTTTTCCTCATCTGACTGGGGCGTATTATGTGGAGTATTACTGCTCTGAGTATATTCCACTGCAAAAGCTTTAACAGCCTATTTGGAGCAGTAATAATCCGAGAAACCATGAATGTTTTTATGAAAGTAGTAATTTTGTTTTAAATGTTACTATTTTTGTCATTATTTTAACCCACTGATTGGCGGGAGAGGTGGGAAATTGGACACTACTCCACCCACAGCTGGAAGATCAGCAATGTTGAAAAATATTTCTATAGTGTATCCATGGACACCTAACTCAGCGTGAGAGCTCTCTTATAACAGAAAACATGAGCTGATTTTGAAGGCAAAATACACAGCTATGATTTTCAATTAACCTCTTTTAAGTTAACAGTGTTTAAAGCATGTTTATCCTGGAACTATTTTTGCTATATCCTTTATATTAAAAAATACATTAAAAAGATAGCCAAATACATTTCTTCTGAAACAAAGACTTCACATACAGATTTAAATCCAGGAACTAATTTCCGTGAAGTGGATAAATCTTTTTTTAACAGGTTTCTTAATGGAATTAATTAAGATCTTTTCAGCAGTTTAATCCTGCATACTTAAGTAAGTATATATATTGTACATGTCATTATTCGAAATCAGGGAGGAAAAAAAAAAAGGCAGGCATATCCCATTCTCTAAAACATAAGTAGGTAAGTTTTCTAAAGTACATTCTCTGTAAATGATCAATATACATCAAGCATAACTTAAATACCTTGGTTAAGCTGTTCTTCCACTTGCTTGAATAGACCAGTATGTCACATCTGGGATGAGTGGTTCTAGCTTGGGTGTATAGTGGCTTTTCAACCTTCTGTTTGGAATCAAGGAGCGAAAGGGCTACCTTTGTCAGCAAACCTAGTGGATTGGGATTGTTGGGGCTAATGGTCCACGTAGAATAGGCTGAAATTTTCTGGTCACTCTGCAGCAGATGTAGTGGTTTTCTCTTCGTGAGGTAACACCAGGTAAAGTTTGTGGAGGTCTTGAGGCTTGGAAATGACAACCTCTGCAGTTCTCCTGTGCTCGCTGCAGCCAGGGTGCTTCCAGGCTTTGCATGACCCTGGCTGCCAATTTGCTTGCTCTCGTTACCAGCACTCGGAGACCTTCTTTCTTGACTGCCACTCACAGGCTTTGGCAGAGGACTCTGGTTATTCCCTGGAGACAACTCCGATGCTTTTCTAACCGCAAGCGCTGCTGATGCTGACAACTTCGGGTCTTCCAATTCTGGCGACTCCTTTAGGGGTTCTGCAGTGCCCGTTTCGGGATGACAGTCGGGCAGCACCACGTCTGCAGCACCAGCTTGGCTGCTTTTTTCCTGCTGCGGAACACCATCGGGATCTAACGGATGACTCTCCAGAGGCTCCGTGGTGCACACCTGTCTCACCAAAACTGGTTTCTTTTGCTTACTGGCAGCGTCACCAGACCGAAGGTTCAGGGAATGCGAGGGTCTGGCATCTGCCATGCAGGCAGCTCCGCTCTCATCCTTAACCCGTTTTTGCTGCTTTTCCATGGCAATATCTAAACTGTTGGCTGGGGAAAGCATTCGTTTACTTGCAGCTTCCTGCTGAGGGAAGAGTCCACTAACTGGCACTTTCTGAATAATATTCAAAGAGCTGGACAAGGGTGAATGTCTGGTTCCATTATCAGGTAGTGAGTTTTCAAATTCAAGCAAATTTGGCAAAGTCCTCTGACAGTCTTTGTGAGATTTTGGCAGCTGAGTTTTACCTTCAAGCATTGGCACCGACACAGCATTTGATTTACAAGCAGATTGACTGCCTTGTTCCTGGGTCACTAAAATGTGAGGAAGGGGTGTAACAGTTGCAAAGCCATAGGATGGCACGCTGTTATGAATTCGGACAGGAACTACAAAAGGAGGAATTGGGTGCATCTGGCTGCTGCAGTTGTTAGGGACAATCTGTTTTAGAGGAGGCACGGAATATGGATTAGATGTATTATCAGACAATTTAGTCTGCATTTCAAAAGGGGAAGCATTCTGGTCTGCCCCAACCTGGCATGGAACAGTCTGAGTTGCTGAAGTATTTTTTAATAACTTAGAAGTGAATGGCTGACCTACATGCAATGTTTTAACTTGAAGCTGATACTTGGGTGCAAAGCAATCCCTGCTTTCAGCGGGGTGACATGAAAGCAGGTAGGTATTTGCTTGCTCTCCTTGGGCTGAGGTTTTAGTAGATGCCTGGGAAGGCTGCTGCAAGGATGGTTGTCCCAGATTACTCAAGACACGGTCTGGAGGCTGCTGAGCTGAAGGCAGGCTAACAGGATTGCAACCGCGAACTGCAGCGTGGGGCCTGGAGGGAGTCTGAGAATGCTGAGTACTTGAAGGGAACTCCACTGCAGACTTGCTGCAGGTTTGCAACCTATGAAACGGCACCGCGGGCGCATCCGCAGCGTGAGCAGTCTGGAGGGAAGTTGATTTAACTTGAGGCTGATGGTTTTCTGGAGCAATATTTAAAGATATTTGTCTTACGAATGGTCCCCTCCTCCTTTCTAGCAGAGGCACGTGCCCAGTAACACCGTTCCCAGAAGACGATTTTGGAGTGGCTACCTCTACAAGTGAGGCAGGTTTCGATGGAGACATACTGCCACAGTCAAAAGACTTACTCCTGTAGTCTACAACCTCCATGGATGGCTGCGTGCAGCTGATTTGCTCAGATGCAGCACGTCTCATTTCCCTGTAATGAGGACCTGGAACACCTAGTACATTAGTGACTTATTAATAAGCTCTATTTTGGAAGGATTCTCAGCCTTGGAAATCTCATCTTTATCAAGCGAAGCTGAAAAACTAGAGGCATGGGACAAACTACTTTCCCGACTTAGACTCCTGGACAGTGTGGAGTCAATGCTCGACTCCGCAGATGAATGTTCCATCTCAGCCAAGCGAATTCTTTTCTTCTTTGGTGGAAGCTTTTCTGTGGGCAACTTTGACAGAGTTTCACTACGCTGTGGCCAGTTAAATCTTTCCGTCTTTTCCTGATCACTATATTGGTTTTCTTGGTCCCTGTCTGGTTCTTCTGTGACCAGTATTTCAGGAACCTGGATGTTGTGTTGGCGAACAAGCCTTGATGGCTGAAGTGGTGCACTTCTCTCGTGAGAAACCACCCGATTACTCTGAGCTTCCCCCCGCGGTGCTTCCGATGACAGTGGCTGATGATGCTGGGAAGGATTCAGATGACAGTGCCTATCCTCTTGGATTACAATCGTATTCAAAGAGCAGTGCTTTGCAACTTTGTTGGGCTCTTGAAAAGAAACTGGTGAGACCCTTTCAAAAGACTCTGATTTCTCAAAGGAGCTATTTCGGCTCAGTGAATTAGTATGCTGTATTACTGAAATGCCAGTCCCTTGCCTTTTCAGCTCCACCTTTTCTTGTGCAACTGAACTCGTCTGCTTTTCAATAAGTGGAGCCATCTTTAGCTCCGTAGTTTGATCTGTGCCTCGAGCCACAAGCTGAATTTGTGAACTTTGAAGAGCAACATTGCTTTGCTGCTGCGAACCTACTACTGTTGCACTGTGTTTTGACAGACTGGAAGCATTTGACGGTTTACTTTGGCTGTCTGCATTCTTTGATGACATATTTGTGTCATTTTGCTGCGGGTCATCGTCATCTCCAACACTTTTCATTTTCCTTCTTTTCCTTATCTGAGGCGTCTGTTCCCAGACACCAGTTGAACCAGTGACGCGGTAGTGCAGAATTTGAGGCTGTGTACTACTGGGAACAGTTTTATGCTCAGGCTCGCGGATTGCCGCTTTGGTTTTAGGTCCGTGCAATTCGGAACAATAGAACTTCTTGTGGTTTTCAAAATTTTCCAGTTTTCTGTATCTGTTTCTGCAGGTTTCACACTCAAACATTGTTCCTCGCACTTGGGGCGACTTCTTTGCCTTTTCTAAATTTGATCCTTGCGCCAGTGACTTGCTCCGTTGCAATAAAGATTCATTTGATAAATTACATCCAAGGTAATTCTCTTCTACGGAAGAAAGATTACGTACCGACCCAAGAACTTGACTTTCACCAGTAGAAGAATCTTCTATTGCCGCCTGTCGAACAAGAGTCCGAGGATGCCCACCTTGGTTCAGTGGAGTAGCAGGTCCTGATACAAAGACATCATCATATAAAGAGCCAATTTTATCATCGAACGATTGACTTCCTCGAAGTGGATGAGGGGGAGGTATTACATTTGGAGGTACGGCTGAGTAACTGGTAGTAGGCATAGAATTACTTCTTGTTATAGGCAAACAGTCAAGGGATGGTACAGACAGAAGAAAAACTTGCTTTGATTTCTCTGTGGGCGTGAAAGGAGACTTTGGTATATCTGAGCTTGAGCTCGTCCTTCTTCCCATGGGCTTTAAATCAAACTGGAAGGAATCCTTAAATATATAGGATTTTGGTGAATCTATGCTTCCTCTTCTTGAAAGGGATGTTCTTCTTGGTTTCACGCTATCTAACTGTTTGTCATCCACAACAGCTTCATTATCAGAAATTAGCTTTGAGATACGCTCCTCGAGGGTTTTTGTTGCCATGGGTGGTCGCATTTGGCCAGAGAGAATCAGATTTTTTTCAGCACAAACTGTCTGAACCACAGATGCAACTATTCCACTCGCTCGCGGCACACAGGGCAGGTTTTTATTTGCATCTTTTTCAGAAGTCGGCAGTCCTCTTACAAGAGGCGCCGGTGGGCTCATCGTTTGATCAGCACTTTCAGAACGAGAGAAATAACCGGAATCGGTACTGCCCAAACTTCTGGGGCTCAAAAGGCATTTTCCTTGCTGATCTTGGGAACAATCAGTCGCCTGTTGTCTCTGGAGCTGAGCGTGCACGGCTCCTACTGCAGACCCTAGCTGTTCCTCTGATAGACCCATTTCTATCTTTTGTTGCTGCTTTACGTCAGTCTCCTTGAAGGAGGTTGTGTGTGCTACATTTGACTGAAGATTTGTCACTTTAAAATCTCCTTTCTTCTGTGCTGCAGCAAGCTCAGCTGCTGCATCTGTGACTTTTGGACTATCGGCCCTTAAAGGAGAGACATTAACAGGATGAACTACTACTTTTGGTAAAGCTGCCCTCACTTGTGGTTCTGTATCACATAACGAGGAATCACCCGCTACAGAGTCTGGGTTGCTCAGTGGAACAGGGCTTCCTTTCCGTAAAGTTTCTGAACTTGAAATTACTTTCACTATTTGTGAAGGCTCCAGTTCTTGCTCATCTTGTCTTTCGTCTGCAGTGCCTTCATCTTCACTTTCACCACTCTCTTCCACGTCGGAGTGAATACTAAGTGCTTTGTCTGAGTCATGAGACAAGAAGAGACCGCCAGAATCCGGCTGTAGGACAAGCCCGAGCTTGATAGCATGTGCATGAGATTTCTTGTGCTTGTACAGATTGCTTTTGGTTTTAAATGAAAACCCACATGTCACACAAGGGTACGGTCGCTCTCCGGTATGAGATCGGATATGCTTTTGGAGAACACTGGGCTTGGCACAGGCCCGATTACAGTACTCACAGACGTACTTCCCGAGTTTTTTAGGCTTCTGGTCTTTCAGGAGATTACATATTTGCTCTACACCATGATTTACAACCGATGCTATCTGGGCTGAGCTGTAGGTGGGACCTATTGACAAGTGTGTGGAACTGGATGTGTTAATTGGCAAAGGTGAAGGTGCATTAGCTACTAACTGGCTTTGAGGAAAAACCTGAGTTACCGTGGACGATGAGGTGTGAACGATAGAAGAGGTTACTGCTATACTGTAAATCTGCTGGAGTTTGGGGTTTTCTTGACTCTGCTGTTGCACCACTGGTCTGGCGAAACTCGGACACACAACAACCTGGTGATTTTGTTGACTGGTCTTTGTAATGAGGTCTTGAGAATGAGCAATTGATTGGATCTGTGCTTGTCCACTCTTAGCTGTCATTGCTACATGAACACTGTTTAAAGCACACGGGTAGTAGTGTGATCCAGCTGCCAACTCACGCTGGGACAAAACAGACGGATTTTGGACACTCATCGTATTGGAGGTGAGACTAGAAGAGGTGCTTACAGTTTTATTTGGTCTCAGCTTCTCTCCCTGCATCCCGTAAGGGGGGCACTCTTGTGCCAAGGTGTTCAGTTCAGGCTCCATAGCTTTTAGCAACACATCGAAGGCAGTGCGAGTGCATGGGGACGCAGTACTACCATCATCAAAAGGAATACATTCATTACTGTCAGTCTTTGCTTTGCTTGATAAGGAGTTAGGCTTCTTCTCCGGCGAATTTAATCGGTTTGCTTCAGAATCCCCCCCTGCCTGTTTACTCAGCTCTGAGGACGGAGGTGCCAGGGAAAGCTTCGTCTGCCCGGACGACGTCTCCGATTTGGCTGTTTCGGCACCAATCTCAGTACCAAGTGCTCCTCCGTTCTGCTTGGTACACTGCTTCCCATTCTGCACAGGTAAGTGGTTCTGCACCTTGGTGGGCTCTGAGGCATCTGGAAGAGCCTTTAATGGTGAAGGCTCTACATTTTGTTTAATCTTGGCTTCGGTGGGGCTTCTCAAAGGCGATTTTGGTATTTTTTTTAGGTGGTTTTCAGTTACAATCTTTTTCCTTTTCACGCCCTTAATTGCATCTGAGGTTCCTCTTGTACCAGCATCTGTGATTTCTGTTTAAGCATAAAGAGAACAAAAAATATTAAACTGCATAATGCATTTTATTTTTATTTATGCTATTCTATCATCTCTTAGTTTCAGCTCTAAGAGTAGTTCATGCACTAAGCCCTAGGGCAACAAAACGGTCCATCTCTCAAGCCTCTGACATTTTAATACTAATGTATCTTCCTGAGTATCTGTTTTACTTTAATCTAAAAAGAGTAATGCTTTCCAACTTATGCTATAAAACATTACAGTAGTAATTTACTATAGGAAAAGCTGCAAAGAGTTTTTTTTTTTAATAAAGGCTAATTGACAGGTATTTCAGTATTTATAGAAACTCCTTTTCAAATAAAGTAAAAATAATCTTTTGCACTTGTTTAAAAATTCAAATCATTATAGCAGGAAAATGAAGAACCAAGACACACATCCATTTTCATGTCATATTTTCCATTTTTCCATCTATATGTTGCAGTAGTCAAGGAAAGAAGACAACTTCCTCATGGTTATATCTGTAAGTGGATTTATCATGGAAATGGCACAAACCACCCACACCATCTGTCAAATACTGAATTTCAGAGCTCCAATTACTGAACTTCAGTAGCATTTCAGATGAGCAGCTACTGCAGATGAATAAAATCAGTCACACTTAAATGATTTTCCATTTGTGCATCAAGAAACAAAATAAACTAAATTTGAATTATTTCATTACTAGCTACACTTGTTGCTCATTTTAAGTAGGTATGCACAGGGAGTTTCAGGGGTATAGCGAATAGCAAATTAATTGCTATGCTATTCAGCATAATAATTTAATAATTTTGTAGCAAGTACATGTAATAGTTTGTACAGAGTCCAATTTCCTCCAGAACAAGAAAGCCATATTGACTGAACTTCGGTTTGGATATTTAGAAACCTTTTATTTATTTATTTTTTAAATATTGACTCCTGATGTTACACACCTTCATTCATTCATCTCAACAGTATCACAGTTAATCTGATAGTTAAGTATATTTTACCTTGCTCCGAGCACACAAACACCTAGACAATCACTGCCACCGTCTCTGTGGTAGTGACTGCACAGGAAGCCAAGTATTGAACGAATGTAAATCCATCCCAAACTTTACTTTAACAACTCATTCATTTGGCTGCTAGCCAAAAACCAGACCCATCCGATTGCCACTGCTCAAAGCAAAGCAGAGTTACGGTGTGACTGGAAGGCCAATGCCTGGCTGAGAAGTTGTAGCTGTACCTGAGCCTATAAACTCAGTCCATTTTTCAGAACACACATTTTAGCCACAGCTGATCACAAAACCGTGAGGAAGCTCTCTCACCAAAGCTATTTCAGTCTATCCACTTGCTTCAATAACTCAGTTTCACCCCAGAGTCAATTATCTGTCCTAAAAGAAACACTTGAAAGAGCTTCTGCTGAAATCTTGGGTTTTCTTTCTCTTTTCACAACTGCAGCTCATTATTTACAGCATAACTTCATGCGTTTTGAGAAGCAGGATTGAGTAACTCCATGTAGCAAAGGAACTTTTGTGCAATTCTATATAAACGCAAGCCCTAAGACAACATATTGTCAGAGTTCACAAGGGGGCAAGTGGAGAAAACATGGATTTCCTAGTGCTGATCAATCCAACAGCCCCTCTCCAGAGGCCATCAAGAACACCCCCTTGCAGAAACACCAGCTGGCTTCCAGGCTGCAGAAGGAAGGAAGGAAACGTGTATGTGCATCTGATGAGACAGGAGCTGATGAATCCAGGGTGAAAATCCTGCTCCATTTAAAAGAAATCCAGGCAACGCCTACAGCCAGTCTAGCAGAAGAGGATGCAAAGTGCCCAGCAGAAACAAGATGACAGTTTGCCCCAAGCCAGACCATAACTTGATGGGAATGCGTGCTAAGGACAAAACTTGGGCACCTGGAAGTTCAAAATCTTGCGCCAGACTGGAAGTCATTACTACACATATAGTAGTCATTCAGGGCAAAGAGATATGCTGGAGATTTCCTTTCAAAGCAAAAGATTAACACTACCTAATACATAATGTACCTGCGCCTATGGAAGTTTGCATTCTGCAGAGCCTGACATAACCTGACTTTCTCACAGCCTCTCTAGAGGAGATTTAACTGTGAAGAGTGGGATACTGTTTTGTCACATTTGGCAGTCTCATAAAAGACGCATCGCCTCTAAAATTCATCGCCTCTAAAATTCATCGCCTCTAAAATTCATCTCCAGAACTCGTGGCTTTGAATCTCAACCATGGGGAGTTCCTCTTCATCTTGCGCACTCGGAAAGAAATCCATGCAGCAATCTTTCATTTAACCTTTAAGTGAACTTTGCACTTACTGCTTTAGTACCAAAACCTATTCATATTAGGCTGGATTTAGCATATTCAAAGCAGATCTGCCTGTTGCTTTGCAATTAAACGAGCATCTTACACAAATAAATGATCACCGATATTAATAATGGTAGTTCTGTCAAACTGCAGTCTACCATCTGCCCAGTAACAACAATTTCACATGAATCAAAGAGCGAAATCGCTCGGTAACTACATGTTGGCCACAGCTTGGCGGTCCCTCAGAAGGAGGGCCACGTTAACAGGGTGTGAGTAGCGCGGTTCCCTTCAGGACGCTCAGCTGAGGAGCCGGGAGCGCCCGTGCAACACGAACGCGGCACGGGAAGAGGGGACGCAAGCCAGGAATGTCCAGGAGAACTCATGCACACAAAAAGCCTCAAAGATGGCAGGGCAACCGAGCAAATGCCTGACCCCCACCCAAGGCCTCAGCTTACTCAGCAGCTGCTGTTCCTGGGTTGCAGCAATCCTGAGCGGAGCAGCAACCGTGCTCAAACTGGGCCCCACCAGTAAGCTGGAAATCAGCACTCCTGAAGGACTGAATGCGGCCTGAGAAAGCCTTAGACAAAGTACAGATGTGGCTCTAATCTGTCAATGAAGTGACTAAGAATTTGTAATTGTTATGAAAAGAAGATCCGATTTTTTTCTATAAGCTATTTACTTTTATGCTTGCAAAAATAGAGTCCAACACATGCAAAATCATAAAGATGTTTAGGAAATTGTTTGAAAATAAAAAAATAATAATCGAAAGTTATATATTACATAACATTCAAAAATGGGCATTTATAATCAGTGATTGTGTTGCTTCTGCATCAAAAAGCTCTTGTCTTTTTGACTCTACTGCTTACATCTCCTGTGATTTCAGAGATGAGAGTCTTAGCTGCGCACCAGTGAACCAGTCTATAAAATCCTGCAGAAATGGACTTTCTCAACAACAGCTTCACTAGGCTCAGCAGTAGCAAAAGTCCTGCGCTGTACCTTTGTCCTTGATAATATGGAAATACATATTATTAATGGAAATATTCACCTCAAGCTTACTAATCTCCAGACTTTTAGGAGAAAAAAAGCAATATTCAACAACTTATTTTCACTTACTTTCAGCTTTTTATTCCTTTTGTATAAATGCTCTTTTTTAACTTCCAATTTATGTTGAAGATATTCCAGTAAACATTTGTGAATTTACAGCTACCTGATTGCAAAGTGATCCACTGTGTCACTATTTCTAGAGGCAACAAGAAACCTGGCAGAGAATATCAGTCCCGGACTGTGCTGGGCTTGGGAGCTTCCAGCTTGCACGAGGGTGGAAACTAACCAGGCCCATGGCAGGCTACCGGCTTCCACCCATCTCAACAAGCTGACCACAACCAGAGAGAACGTAAAACGTCCTGGTATGGAAAAAGAAGAGTAAAAGAGGACTATTTCCTGCTTGTTCTGCCACTCCTTTACAGACTCTGCTCACTCCCCTGTGCTCTCACAAAGCACTTTCCCTCTTCAGCTAGTAAAGCTGCTGCAGGAAGTCCTCCTTCTCTTAGTTGGTGAGCTCTTCTCACCTTTTTTTTAAGCGCTGTCCCTTCAATCTGATGTCTACAAAGTCTTTTTTTTCATAAACTTTATTACATCAGATAGGATTAAGCGGCCTGGCCCAAGAGAACAGGTAACAAGGCCATTGGGCTCAACACCTCACTCTGCACAGAGCATCTCTTGGCTTTCCTGTCTCTCTCCCCCATGTTTCCTTCCTTCTGCGTTTCTATCAGCGCTATTTTGCTTTCAATTCTGCTTTTTCACTAGGAATTCCGCACTTAAAACATGACAAGACTACCTGGTGTTGCTACACATGACTTTGTGCACCTCTAATTTCTTTACTGCACTTTGCTCTACATGGAAGAAATGGAGCAAAACATCAGAACTGTGATGGTGCAGACAGCAAACTAGCGCAGTGACTCACGCAGCCAAGGCAGAGTCTAAGCACCCGGATTTGTTCTTCCTGCGCGTTCACGCGCAAAGTAGACAATGTCATGACAAAATGATCTCAATGGTTTTGTTTAAGTAACTTTCAGAGCTGCCTGTCTCGAAGCCTACGTGTTATTATAACACCCACGCTCCTTCTCTCCCTTCTAATGTGCTGTACTAAAAAAATAGGAAAAGAATAGGGAACTGAAGCAAAGCACCAAGCTGCCTTCCCTCCCCGTGCCGCTCTGGGAAATGTTTAGCGCACGGCAGCACTGACTGCGCCTTCCCTCCCCGTGCCGCTCTGGGAATTTAGCGCACAGCAGCACTGACTGTCCCCACGGACCGAAGAACAGCAATTTCCATCGTTTCACCTACTCATTTGACACAACACGGTAAGTTTTAAAACCATAGTAGGCACACAAACAAAAATCAGATTTTTCCAATCAAAGCCTGTGTGCCTAAGTCTGTACTTTGGCTCGAGAGAACTGCTGTTGAAATCGAGCCTCTTTCGAAAGTGTTTAAATACCAATTCATAAGCTCAAAGGTGAGAGAGACCATAGCTAAAGATCTTTTGGATAAAGCTAAACTTCCTGGTGGCTTTAAGTAGTCAAAATATTCTTTCACTTGCCATCTGATGCTTATTTAATTTTCATTTTGCTGGAACTTGTATGCTTCAAGGAGGAATCACTCCACTGAGTGTTTCTATGAATAG